GAAGTATTGAACTGTATCATTAATATCACACACAAGGAACATTTGCCGAAGATAATTCAAGAAGAGTTGCAGGAGTATATTGGCAGGGAACATTCAGAAATGCAAGCTGGATTCAGAAGAGGATATGGAATGAGGTTTATCATTGCTGATGTCTGATAGATCTTGGCTGAAAGCAAAGAAATACCAGAAAGATGTTTACTTATGTTTTATTGACTATGCAAAAGCATTCAATTGTGTGGATCATTACAAATTATGGATGACACAAAGAATGGGAATCCCAGAACACTTAATTGTGCTCATGAGGAACCTGTACATAGACCAGGAGGCTATCCTTCAAACAGAACAAGGGGATACTGCATGGCTGAAAATGAGGAGGGGTGCTGTCAGGGTAATATCTTTTCACCACAATTAGTCAATCTGTACGCTGAGGAAATAATCCAAGAAGCTGGACTATATGAAAAAGATTGCAACATTAGGATTGGAGGAAGACTCATTAACAACTTGTGATATGCAGACGACACAACCTTGCTTGCTGAAAGTGAAGATGTCTTGGAAGCACTTACTGATGAAGATATGAACAGTCTGTAGTATGAATTACATACACCTCAACATAAAGAAAACAAAAATCCTCAGAAGTAGACCAATCAGCAGCATCACAATAAATGAAAAATAGACTGAAGTTGTCAGGGATTTCATATTACTTGGTTCCATGATCAACACCAATGGAAACAGCAGTCAAGAAACCAGATGTCATATTGCACTGGGCAAATCTACAGCAAAAGACCTCTTTAAAGTGCTGAAGAGCGAAGATGTCTCTTTGAAGACTAAGATGAGCCCAGTCCAAACCATGATATTTTCAATTGCCTCATATGCATATGAAAGCGGGACAATGAATAAGGAAAACTGAAGCAGAGTTGATGTTTTTGAGTTGTGTTGGCGAAGAATACTAAAAGTACCATGGACTGCCAGAAGAACTAACAAGTCTGTCTTGGAAGAAGTCAGAATGTTCCTTGGAAGCAAAGAATGGCCAGACTTCGTCTCACCTACTTTGGTCATGTTGTCAGAAGGGACCATCCCCTGGAGAAGAATGTCACGCCTGGTAAAGTGGAGGGTCAGTGCAAAAAGGGGAAAGCCTTCAATAAGATGGACTGACACAGTGGCTGCAACGATGGGCTCAGGTATAGCAAGGATCGTGAGGCTGACACAGGACCGGGCAGTGTTTCATTCTGTTGTACACAGGATTGCTATGAGTCAGAGCTGACTTGACGGCACCAAACAACTGAATGCCTTACCAACTTTAGTCATCACACTGTTGATCGTACCTCTTCCATATACAAGAATCACCTCAAATCTGAAGAGTCAGGCTTTTTACAGCATCTTTGTCCTCAGACTCATTTCCTCCAAGACCAGTTGTGTTTGTCTCGGCCTTCAGTAGCACGCCGTTTTCTTTAAGTGTTGCTACTACTCACAGTCATGAAGGTGCCTCGTGTATGCGGCTCCTGGATTACCGAGCACCGGAGCTGCAGGGAAGGGCTGCCTGCGGACGGGCGCAGGAGGGCAGGGTGGTGGGGTTTACTGCGGCATGCCTAGGCAGACAAATCAAGGCGTCCCTACACCTGAGGATTCACTTCAGGCAGGGACACAAAAATCAAGTCAGTTCTGATGCACGGTGGCCCCGTGTGTGCAGAGCAGAACGGTGCCACATCCTCCCACCTGCCACATCCAAACCAGAGGTGATGGGGAAGACTGGTCACTGCCTTCTGACAGCAGTTACCCACCAGTCTCAGTGACGGGTCACTTACAGAGCCAGGAGACCAATCTGCTGCCCAAACTGCTGACTCCAAGGTTCAGGGCACGGACAGCAGTCCCAGCCAGAGACTCACTCCCCACACCCACCCTGGTGCCCACAAGGCCTGTTCACAATTACTCGATGTCTGATGGGCTCTCGGGACTAAGGATAACAATCAGTTAGAAACGCAAAGGT